GAGATGCGGAGTTGGGCTTCAAGCGCCGCAATGCGACGGGCCTCCTTGTCCTGGTGGTACGTTGCGCTGTAGAGAACCATGTTGCTTCGATCGATAAATGGAAATGCGATGTAGAACGCTTCTTCTATCTCGATGGTAAAAGCAACAAGCTGCCCTTTACACTGCAAAGGCGGATTATAGTCAGCAAACGATTTTGCAGTTTTCGGGGATTAGGGTAGGGTTAGGGTTATCCCATCGAACCCTTGTACATGGCTAGATGGGACGTATTCGCACTACGTGCTCCGTGTCGACTCGACCAATACACTCCTACAAACGTGCTGGTGTACATTGCCCTGAAACGAAATGCTATAAAGGTGAGAGCCACTCAAATCCTTCCTTACTTGACCAGGCATCATGCAACACACAGACAACTAGCGACGCCAAACGCGTGCTGGAACGGTCCTCGGTGACGGTACGTGATCCGACGTCACCATCGCGCGCAGCACATCTTGGATGTCTTTGGCCCACTGGTCCGAGGTGTGCATGCAGCGATGGTTGCCATGAGTGCAGAGGGATCAACTGCGCTGTGGAGAAGCAAAGTCTCAACGCGACAAGAGGCTCGGCGTCATGAAGCACCGTCATGAGCGCGGCGGCTCCAACGTTGTCAAAGTTGCATGCGAAGAACGCGACACGGGCCTTCTCGAGGCAGCGTGCGTCCGGTTGCGGTCGCCAATCGAATCGAATCTCTGGGATCGCAAGATCGCACGCCAGGACCCGGTTTTACTGGGTTTTAGTGTGGTTGAAGGAGTTTAAACACGATTGAACATGTTTTACGCAGCGTACAACCCGTTCCAGCGACCAAAAACCGAACGAAGCCAATAAAACCGAGCGGATGGTGCGGCAAATCGCTTGCCCGGATGTTGCGGTCACATGCGAACAATGCTCAAGCCAAATACCGACTGCAAGGGAGGATACGCCCGAGCGTTGCCTCGCTTGGAGCCGACAAGAAGTCGACAAACTAGGAACCGGTGGCTTTGCCACGATAACGATGGTCCCAGGAAGCGCGAGGTGGAGCGCAAAACGCCGATGGTTGTCAACGGCAACCCTAGTCGCGGTTGAAGCTGCCGCCGATCCGGATAGCAACGAAGTGCGATAGAGTAGGACAAGTTGGACTGACGTTCCTCCTCGTCATTTCAGATTTCGAGAACAAGGCGCCACGAAGAAGAAGAGGACGGCCGACGACGACCCGGCCACGCGACGGCCCGGCCTCGTCGGTCGACATGAAGAGAAAAGACGGACTCCATAGCGAGCACCCGCAGCGCGAGCTCGACAGAAGGCTCAACAACGTCTAGGAAGACACCCTACGCTGGCGCCAGGTAGCGTCCAATGACGCAGCTCACCATCTCTTATACATGTACGTGGGGTAGGGTCCGTCCGCGATATAGCACCGTTGCGATCAGCGGCAGCCACGCTCTTGGCCGCCGGCGCCATCTGCGCCCGCGCGCTCAATGTCCTCGGCCGGGTGTACCTCGGTGTCTGCGCCATGGCGAGCGCAGCCTGCGCAGGCGCGGCATACAGCGCCTCGTTCGGCGTCCCGAGCGGTCAAGTCGGCTGGACGATCGCGGCCGCCCTCGTCGTGGCCCTCGCGGGGCTCGAACCCGCAGCAGTGCGCCGGGCGGGGACGCTTGCCTACGCGGCCATGCTTGGGGCCTCGCTGGGCCCCACACTGATGTCGATCTACGCCTTGCAACGAGGCAATTCTTTAGTGCACACTTTGTGCATCTTTTAACTCTACAACAGATAATAAGACTTTGTCTTTCAGAATTTTGTGTTTACATGCATCGCGCTGGAAGATGCACCCAATCCACGGCTTTGTCATTTGGATTATTTGCAGTTGACACCAACGTCACGCGCATGAAGGAGTGCTGGACGCTTGCATGCGAAGCATGGCGAAGGTAGAACCAGGGGAAATTAGTGCATGATCTTCCTTGGTGGATTGGACCTGATTGTCCGAGCTGAGGGTCCTGGGGAAATGGGTTGCACGCGATCTTTTTTTGCATTTTAACCAATCAAACGCATTCGACAAACAGCGAGCGATTGTCATGACCACGCACAGCCGCGTCCTGCCGGGCGACCATGAAGGCGATCACCGAAGCGCGCCTGCGAGCCTCGTCGTGCAAGGACGACCAGCAGCGTCGGCTTCTGCCGACGAACGCACAGTCGTCGCGCTCGAGCATGAGGCCACAGGGCTCCGCGACGAGATCGCACAGCCGCAAGGCCAGATGCGGCGGTCGGCAACCACGATCGATGAGCTTCGGGGCGTTCGCAACAAGATCGAGGTCGACATGGGCGCGCTGGCCAACGAGAATGCGATGCTCAAGAGACAGCTGCACGACGCGCGTGGCAAGGCTGCCGCGTACGCCGACATGCAGGCGCGTCTCGAGACCGCGCACGGCGTCACGGTTCAGCAGCTCGACGCGACGGTAGCGCGACACGTCACGACGATCCAAGAGCTTCGTCAACGCATTGCCGGCGACAACACGGCAGCCGAGCGCCTCAGCACGGCAAACACTCGGATCGATGCGCTCTCAGACCAGCTCGAGACAGGCCGCGCGTGCCTGACGTACCGCACGAACCAAGCACGGTCGCTCGCACGTCACCTCGATCACGAGCAGTCATCGAGAGGCGCCGAGAGCGACGCGCTTCGTCGATTGAAGAACGTCGTCCTGTCACTGCAACGTGTCATTGTAGGTCCTATGGACCTCCGACGTCTCGTGCTCCGGCCACTTGCGACGTCCGTGGGCCTTGCAAACCTTGGACACACGAGCTACGCCAACGCCGTCCTCTTCGCGCTCGCACACACTCGCTTCTGCGACGAACTCTCGGCTGCGTCAGGCGATGCATTTACGACATCGGTCGCCGAGCTCCTCGTGGCGATCCGCAACGGCGACGCGTCATTCTTCCACGCCACGCACCCGGCGCTCGCGAACCATCTCGGTCGGTCCGCCGAAGACGCGTACGACTATATGCGCTGACTCCTCGATCACCTCGCGTCGACGAGAGCACCCAGCACGAACTTTGGCGCTCAGCTGGCGCCTGTATGCGTGCGCTGCGGACATGAACCGGTGACGTCTCTCTCGGTCAGCGTCGACCTCGAGCCGTCGCTCGCTGCGGCGCTCAAGTAGGTGACCAGCACGACGCTGTGGCAACGAGCACGCCCATGCGCTGCGCGCCATGCTTGTGACCACGCCGCATGTGCTCGCATGTGAAGCGCTTTAGCGACGATCGCACGCAAAAACGTCGCGCCATGGTCAACAACCTCCACCTGACGCTCCACGAGGCGACGTACACGCTTGTGGCGCTCGTCGCGCACGAGGAAGCGGACGACGACGGGCACTACGTCGCCTATGTTCGCCTTCGGCGCGGCGGGGCCTTTACCAAGATGAAGGACAACGAGACGCCCGTGCGCGTGCCGCCGTTTAATGTGCAAGTGCTGGAAGCCCATTTGCTCTGGTACGAAAAGACTGAGCACTATGCCGAGATGCGGCGCGATGACAGCAGCAACAGCAACGACAACAACGACGATCAAGCGACCCGAGGCAAACGACCTGCTTCGATCACGCCAGCAGCCAGAAAGACCCAGCGTACGGCGTAGGCGTCTTGCGACGCGTCGATGTTTGTGTGAGCGCTCGACACGATGTGCTGCGTGGACACCAACGCCTTGTTTATGGTGTTTATCTCCGCACCTCGAGAGTCGTCATGGTGGAGGATCGAGGTCGTCACTGTCGAGTGCAACGCAGCGATACAGAGATGCAACTTGGACGATGACGAGCCGAGAAGCACGAGTCGGAGGCACTGCGCTGTGCCAATAGCGTCGATCGGAATCGAGACGATCTTGCCCGTGGCGTCGACGACCAGGCTTGCTTCGACGAGGCTCAAGCCGTGCAAGAAGCCACCGACAAGACCGCTTTTGAACGCCTCGGACGGCGGCGCCAGGGCCGTGACCATGTCACGCCTTGGGTGCTCGGTATAGACGAGCACCTTCAAGGTAGGGAACGTCTGAGTAGAAAAGGAGGTCCAATAGAAGCCATCGGGAAGAACGAGACCGTACCTCTGCAAGCGCACGAGGCGTCAAGGTGCCACTGCTCGGGCCTAAGAGATGGTCTCCTGGCTGTGGGTTGGGACCGGCTGTGTGCTCTGTCTGGCGCGAGTCTGGCGCTGGATCACGAGAGACCTCAAGTGAAACGGGCATGCTGAGCTCTTCGTTGGTGACGGCGTCGCTGGCATCGCTCTGACAAGGCAGTGGTGACGCTGGAGCCGAGGCGGGAGACCAAGACCCAACGTCAAACCCTGGAGATGAGCTCGGCGAGGGGCTCCCCCGTCTCGAGGAGAGCGGGAGCTATCGTGACTGAGACTCGCGTGCATCGATGGTGCTGTCGCGACGCCCGAGCCGGCAGTGGCGACGCTGCTGCATCGTCGAAGGGCAAAGGGAGCGGTAAAGCCGGGCCAAGCCCACTGCTCGTGGGCGGTGCGGCAACGGCGTCTCGTCTTGCGGGTGGCAGGCGCACTCGCTTCGCCAGACCCTGTTCCGTGGTGTATTTCTGCTTTGTCTGGCTGATCCTAGTCGCACGTTGTTGGCGTTGCACCCTAGTGGGCCGTCCGTGGAGTGGCAAGGCGTTGCCGTGCGCAATGAGCATCGTGGCGAGCGCACGGTGCGCGTCCGTCCCTGCACTTGCTGGCGCATAAGTCCAGTCGTCGGTCTGCATGCTGGCAACGACATGGGTAACGTTGGGCCGCGTGCTCAGGTCTTTAAACTCCGAGCCAAAGACGCTGTAGAGCCGGCGAGTGACCTCCTTGTGGGGCGTGTCCTCCTTCGGTTGCTTCGGTATCATTGCACGTTCGAATGATTTACACGCTTCGCACCTTCATTTTACACGCCGGAAAAAAGACCAATCACGAGCGATCAAGCGTAATTTCAGCCAATGAAAACGACGCTGTATTATGTTGAAGATCGCATTTGGATATTTGCCGCCTTGGGCCTCGACATGGCCGATCGCGCAACGAGCCAGGCGCGCCAGCAGGTACGCAAGCATACGCAAACTCGACGACGACGATCCGACGGTGGTACTAGCCGGACTCTTCCGCGGCTGCGCAGCAGCACCAGCCCCACGCCGCCTCACCACCCGCGCAGGTACCCACCGACGACTGCCCGTCGCGGAGCAGGACGCGTCCACGACGACCTTGCGCCGTGCTGGGCGCGAAACGGACGACAGCGACGACGAAGATGGCGACGACAACCCGCGCCCGACGAAGCGCTGCCTCCGCAGCGATGGTCCTGCGGAGGAGTCGCTGCCTCTCCGGCCGCAGCGGCTGACCCTCCAGCGGCGGGGGCAGGCGACCGACGAGGAGCGACAAGCAGCCGCCGAATTAAGAGCGCAAAAGGCCCTGGTACGTCCAAGACGCACCTCGATGTATCTTTTACACTTGCGCAGAACAGCACGATACGCAAGAAGATCCGCTGTCTTGAGCGCCGCCAAGTCCTCCAAACGCCGAGCGCGGTACGTGTAGTTTGCCTCGTTCTCGACTTAATGGCTTGTTAGGAGAGACCGGCTATGCGTGACTACCACATGACGTGGTAAGCGACGGCCGAGATGTTGCCGTCCATCCTCAAGCCCATTGTGTGGTCGCTGGCGGCGTCACCAGAGCATATGTACGTGCCGTACATCTGGCAATCGGTGCAAATGTTGTTCGCGGGCAGCCAGTCGCGGGCGCAGTCGGCGTGGACCTTGTGGAGACAGGGCAAGATCATGACGCTTTGCCCGGCCTCCAACGCTTTCTGGCATTGCAAGCAATTGGACAAGCATACCGAGTGAGTGCATCCAGTGGCAGAATAGTACGCTGGTTGTCGACTTTGTATCTTCTTCAACGGGCGCATGCAGTCTCGAAATAGCGCACGAGGTCGCGACACGTCAGACGATCCATGAGCGTCGTCAACGCACGGCCGATGCCAACAAACCATCCCGTCAGAGAGCGACCGAGCACCTCTCTTAGCAGCTCGTAGCCGCCGGGAATCATACCACGGGTGCCTGATGCACAGCGCTGTCGCCTCGACCGTACGCCGTCATCGAGCGGCGCTAAGAATGACGCGTTGACTACTGTACTATCCAGGATACAGCTGCTCGAATGCGCATCCAGCAGGCAGGCAATGGACATGGTATTCTTCAGTTGTGTTGCGATTACGCGGCCTTGGTAAACGTGTACATGCAGTACGTGTCGCTCATTTCGTTGAAATGCAAGTCAAAGAGGTCGGCGTTCGTGCCCACGAGCGGGTTGGTCTTGAGCGCGTCGGGGACGATGGCCATGCTGACGCGGAACCCGCGGGTTTCCATCGCCTCCTTGAATTCGACGAGCGAGTCGCGCGCTTGGGACGCCACGTGGAGGAAGCGGCCGCCGGGCGCCAATACCGCGTCGACGACCTGCGCGAGGATCGGGACAATGTCCTTGTGGTACACAAGGTCCGAGCCCAAGATCACGTCAAAGGTCTCGCTGCCGTACGTCTCGGGCTTGGCCCAGTCGACGGCCCGGACGATCAGTGTCGTCGGCGCCGCGTTCGCCTTTTGCGCCAGGAGCTCCTTGCACACGCCCTTGTGCTGCTTCCACGCAGCCTTTTGGCAGTCGCGCGAGCAGTACGCGACGCAGCGGCACCGGCCGCAGAGCATGAGCTTCCCTTCCGGGTTGTCGGCCGTGAAGCGCTGGAGCGTGCCGCACTCGGCGCACCCGAGCGCCTCGGGCGACGTCTCGGCGATCGCGGCCTTGGTCGGCTTGTTGAGCTTGGCGTTGTGGTCGAGGTTGGCGACCGTGTGGTGGTACAGGTCCGTGAGCACGACCGACGCCGCCGAGGTGTAGAGGTAGCACGCGAGACCGCTCACGCCGCAGCCAGCGCCGAGCTCGCACACGCGCTTGTTGGCAAAAGACGCTGCGTCTTGGAGGACCCAGCGACTCAGAATGAGCGACGCCGACCAGATGGAAACGCCCGTGATGTCTTCGTCTGCGCTCGAGCCAAACGCCGACTTGTCCATGTCCAGCGCCTAGATTGCATAAGGTATCATGCAATAGCATCGCTTGCGTACGAGTTCGCGCGCTTTGAGTGCAGGCAACGTCGCGTCAAAGGCAAACTCGAGCGTGGTTTCCTGCAGCACGCGCGGCTGCTTCTTCGTCTCTGCCTCGCCGGCCACGTCTTCGTCATCGTCTTCAAGCGTGAGCTTGGCCGCGCCGTTGGCCAAGTCTGCGTTGTTGGCCAAGCGCTCTTCGGTCGCCGACTTGTGCTCGAGGAGGAGCGCAACTAGTCAATGTGAGTTTAGCGCCAGACGAAACCAATGGAGATATACCAATGTCGGTGTTTTCGCTCTGGAAGGCTTCCGTGACGCAGCCGCGGCCAAAGGCGTTCTGCGCGAGAACGTCAATGTCGGGGTACGCTGTAATGAGGAGTTTGACGACTTCAATGTGCTTGTTTTGCACAGCCCAGTCTACACACACCGTCAACATCGCACCGAACAACACAAGCGTACGCAGCGGCGAGTTGCCGTTCAAGTTTGGCAAGAGGCGCGGGTGCTTGGCGAGAAGCACCTTGACGCAGCCGATGTGGCCGTTGGCGCACGCCATGTGCAGCGCCGTGTTGCCCGAGTACTCATCTTGGTAGTTGAGGTCGTCGGCGCTAATGCTGATGCAGAGCTGCTTGACGTCATCGACGTCGCCGCAGCGCGCCGCCGCAAGAAGGTCCTTCGCCTGCACGCTCATCTTGCTTCAGTCCAGCGGAAAATGACCACTCTGTGATGATTGGCTTATGGGCAATACCGCCTCTGATTGGTTGAAAAACTGACCAATCCGAGGCTGGTGCGGCGCCGATCTTTGCCAAGCAGCCTTGGCAGACGAGACGACGTGCGTGCGCGGCGAGGACCTTCCACATGAAGCGGCGCAAGACGCTGCTGTGCAGCTCGTGTTCGAGCGATTTGGTAGCTATTTTCCAGCTATTTTTATATGGTCGTTAATATAGGAACCCTTGTCCGCGCAGAAAGGACAGACGCAGGGTACTGGGCCGCGCGCTCTCGCTCGTGCCACGGCTCTACGTCGGCATCGTCGCAGCGCGCTGTGCGTAATGTGCGCACGCGCGTTACGTTGCCGAATATATATGGACAGTTATAACGAGAAGGTCGCTGTGATAACATCGTGTAACACCATCGTCAGGCCAAGGGGCTCTTTATCCGGTGGGTTCGGATAAAAAGCGCACCACTTTTTGTGACCTGCACCAGGTGTGTTACGGCGCTGTCTCATCTGAGCAGCCAATGGGCGGCGGCGTACACGTTCGATCCAAGGTGCGTAATGTTGGCTCACCGAATCGGGTGCGCTTCTCCGAGACCGCCGCCCGACTTCACAATTACAAACTCGAGCAACATGGGCAACAAGGCGAGCAAGGGCGGCAAGACGCGTCCTCCCGTGCAGAGCGAGGCCTCGGGCCAGAGCTCCCTGCGACCGCAGCCCATCCCGCAGCAGGCGCGCCAGAGCGCCCCGGCGCCGCACTACCGCCAAGACCAGGCGCCGCCCCGCGCGCCGCAGGTGCCCAACGCCGTGCCTGTCGCGGCTGCCCCGCCGGCGCCGACGCCGATCCCGCCGTCCGCCGTGGCCGCCGCAGCCGACCCAGACTGTACGCCTTTGCAATACCACATACGCCCAACTTACTATGTGTGCGCAACGTAGCTGATGGCGAAGACAACTCGGGTCCGACCGAGGCCATGATCATCAAGGACATGGACGGGTCGACGACTTCCGTGCCGACCAAGGTCACGATCGAAGAATTCGACTTGCTCAAGGTCCTCGGGAAGGGCAGCTTTGGCAAGGTCATGATGGTCCGCAAGAAGGACACGCAGAAGATCTACGCGATGAAGACGCTGCGAAAGGCGGCGCTCATCAAGCGCAACCAGCTCGGCCACACCAAGACAGAGCGCAACATTTTGCAGACGATCAAGCACCCGTTCTTGACGACGCTCTCGTACGCGTTCCAGACGCCGGAGAAGCTGTACCTCGTTATGGACTACTGCTCGGGCGGCGAGCTCTTTTTCTGGCTCAAGAAGGACCGCCGCTTCTCCCAGGTACAACGAACCCTTCTACCAGCCTCGTCTTATTGAGATCTTATTGCGTAGAGCAAGGCGCGCCTCTTCGCGGCCGAGATCCTCCTCGCGCTCGAGGAGCTGCACAACCACGACATCATCTACCGCGACTTGAAGCCCGAAAACATCTTGCTCGACAGCGAAGGCCACATTCGCCTGACGGACTTTGGCCTTTCCAAGGAAGCCGTCACGGGTGCTGGCGCTGTGGGTGGCACCAAGGTACGCCCACGAACGACTTCCGCTCATTGACATGCTTGGCCAGACGTTCTGCGGTACGCCTGAGTACTTGGCGCCGGAGATTCTCGAAAACAAGGGGCACGGCAAGGTACTTGGCACATTTTACTGTACAAAGAGTGGTTGCTGAAGGAAATATCGGTGACGCATTAGGCCGTCGACTGGTGGAGCTTGGGCACGCTCATCTACGAAATGCTCACGGGTCTTCCGCCGTTCTACGACCAAAACATGCAGGTAGATGGACGCAGACGCTGACGCTTTGCGCTCAATTGTGGAGTGTAGCGCATGTACGACAAGATCATCAACGCGCCGCTGCGGTTCCCGTCGTTCATGTCGGCGGAAGCCAAGAGCCTCTTGACGGGTCTCTTGCAGCGCAAGGTCTCGGACCGTCTTGGTAGCGGCCCGACCGACGGCGCCGAGATCCGCAACCACCCGTTCTTTGCGGGCATGGACTGGGACCAGATCTACCGCAAGGAGACGACGCCCGAGTTCAAGCCGCCGAACCGCATGGGCTCGATCGACACGAGCAACTTTGACCTGGAATTCACGGGCGAGAAGCCCGTCGACTCGGTCGTGACGACCAACCTGAGCGAGACGCAGCGCAACAAGGCCAACTTTGCCGGCTTTACGTACAACGCTGAAAACGAAATGGACAAGTAGATACCGCGATGTGGCGCCGCGTTGGCGGTCTAGAAGGCGACGCGCGCCCAACGTTTGCATGTTTTGTTGAATCCAAATCCTCCTCATTCGATACACTTGTGTGGTTTTTCGATAAACAGTTCTACTAGCATGATAGCTGCGGGAGTGTACTTTGGCTTCTAAATTTGAGAAGTTGTGAAGTCGCAAACCTGTGTGCGTTTGTCGGTGGAAGCCGGTGCTGCTATGCAGGCAAGGTCAGTGATCGCCTTCATGGTCGCCGGGTGCTGTGCTTGGTAACCTCTCTACGTTGCGTTTGATGGGCAAAATATGAAAAAGATCCCGAGCAGCTCGACGTCGCATACCAAGTCCATTCTACCTTCTCCAAGTCCATTCTACCTTCTACATGCTTCGCTCGAGCACAAAGTCATTCGGTCCTCCCCACTTGCTCGTACGCCTCGGAAGCAAGCCAGAGTCTCGGCTGGAAAGCGCAACACGTTGTTGGTTCTCGGATGAAAGTGCTCGACTTGGAGTCGCATCTCTTCCAGCGCGATGCATGTAAACACTAAACTAACACAAAATTTTGAAAGACTTAAGTCTTATTATCTGTTGTAGAGTTAAAAGATGCACAAAGTGTGCATTAAGGAGAACAACGCCGACCATCGCGCTTGTCGCAGGCGAAAGACCTGGTCCTCGATGGGCCGAGCAGTCGCCGGGTCGATGAGGTAGATATACCCCCCTACCCCACAGTCCCAAAACACCTCTGACGGGGCTTCGAAGCCCCCGTTGATGATAGGGTGCTCAGTCAGGAGCCACGCAGGCGCAACGACCTATGATGAGCCATCCTGAGGCAACAGATCAAGAGTTGAAAATGGATACCTCTGGCGTCGCCATCGGTGCCAGCGTGGCGAAGCGGGCGGAGACCGTCGGCGACGCTGGCGCTGCGACCTAAGACGAGCCATCCTGAGGCAACAGATCATGAGTCGAAATACCATACCTTTGACGACGTGGCGCTCTCGCACTGTTGAGCTGCATCTGCGAGTTTGGCGTGCGACATGGTCGGGACCTACATCAAGCATGAAGGCGTGAGAAACGGCGAGCTGCGTCGTTGGACGCTACCTGGCGCCAGCGTAGGGTGTCTTCCTAGACGTTTTGAGCCTTCTGTCGAGCTCGCGCTGCGGGTGCTCGCTATGGAGTCCGTCTTTTCTCTTCATGTCGACCGACGAGGCCGGGCCGTCGCGTGGCCGGGTCGTCGTCGGCCGTCCTCTTCTTCTTCGTGGCGCCTTGTTCTCGAAATCTGAAATGACGAGGAGGAACGTCAGTCCAACTAGGACTACTCTATCGCACTTCGTTGCTATCCGGATCGGCGGCAGCTTCAACCGCGACTAGGGTTGCCGTTGACAACCATCGGCGTTTTGCGCTCCACCTCGCGCTTCCTGGGACCATCGT